GAAATGTAAATACACAACATAGATAGACCTACCTATCATTATGAGAACACTGACGATTATGGGCAACCGAATAATCTCATTTTTCTTTTCCGACTGCCGTCCTCGCCATCTTCTGCAAAAGCATTGCTTAGCAGAAACACCTTTTACTTAAAAGAATCTTTTGGTGTGGGATATTGTTAGCTCAAATTTATGGAAGAAAAGTAACAAAATCTTTTTTCTAAGGTTTCGATTTTATTTTCAAAATGTTTGGGGTGAAATTTTGGCTAAATATAACTTGCTGGGGATGACAGCAAAATTCCTATACATACCTGTATTTGAGTAGTACTTTAGCGTAGAGCTTCGTAATGGCAAGCAGGAGCCATTGTCCCAGATCACGGACCACCACTAATGTGACTGGTACGAAGATAAAACCGTATATGATGACAAACCATTGTCCAGCTAGTGTTTCGGGTGCTATCGAGCCTAAAATCACAATATCACTCCATATTTCTGTTTCTTACACTCAGTAATCAACATTTATGCTGAACACATAAAGTAATTTTCCAAGGAGGGGGAGTAGAGGAAACAAAAGTGGGTGTGGCAGTGGGCGGAGTCAGTCGAGACTAGATCTTCTCTACTTGAGGGATGGGGACGAGGAGATAGCCTCATGTAACAATAAGAACTCTTAATTAAAGAGATTATCATGACATCATTATCGGTGGTTCTCTTTTGCTACTTTTGATTTATCAGGGGGTAAAAATGCGTTAATACGTCAGTTTAGCATCTTCTTTTCTAGAAATGCTCCAGTTATCAAAAAATCGCTCACCATAACCCGTGGTAGTGTAGACATTCATAGCGAAGAAGAAACTACTAGCGTAAGTCCATTTGTAATTGTTCTCTGGATCAGAAGATCTGTAGAATATAGACCATTTGTAGGTTCCTTCGACATCAAGCATCTCAATGTAGGCAGCCTGGATTACGGTAAAATGGCATATATGAAAAAATTAAGCAATTAGGATAAATGCGAACCGTTTTGTACGTAAGTAACTTTCTGATAACTCATGATGTTCAAATTTTCTTCAAGTTTGAGAAAAAAGCTGGTCTAAGAGCGTATGTGAATATATTAGGTTGGTCGGAAAGTTCTGTCGCCCCAAGAAATCATAATCTCTTCCACAGTTTTACTAGACAGTCTATCGCGCTCATTCCAAAGCTCCTGACATAATTCGTAGTAAGCTCTTAATGCAGACATAAAGTTGAGAAGATGAAATCACTTCAATTTCGGAATTTTGAGGCAACCCCGTTGAAAATTTCAAAACTATACCATAAAATCCAGAACAGCCAGTATCCTAAATTTTTAATCCCCTCTTTCTAGTGAGCAAAGTTCGCGCTGATCGAATCCTTCTAAAAAGTCATGTTCTTGAGAAAATATTCCAAAAAATCATTTTCTCTAAAAGAGTAATTGGTTGAACAACTTGGTTGCCTTTGATGCATGACATTGTGCTCAAAAACTCAAAAATTGTTTCATCCCACTATGGTAATCTTATTTATGTATGCTTAAATTTTTTTCGAATCACTTGAAGATAATATCGTAATACAACATATCAGGCCCAATACTCCGGACTCAAACATCTGGAAAAATTACCTTGATTTGTTCCGCCAGCTCCTCTACTGTCTCATTATCTGCTAATGTGTCGATGTGATCGGAAAGCTTTTCCAGCCTATTGTCTAACTTCGCCTTTCTTTCGGCAACTAACTGGAATAATTAACTTTATAGTCATTCTTCTTACCATTCAATACTAACCGTCCGCTCGTAAGGTGTTTCTAGATAGTAGAAAACTACAGCACCAAGAGCGGTGTAGGCAGCAAGCACGAGTAAAAGAATAATGTGACTAAGGCCAACTTTTCTATGTAAATGG